TGCAGTCTGTTCCCTGCCTCCTCCGCACTGTGGGGCCTAGATATTTGAGAGAGGACAACACACGGGCCTGGGACCTCTGCTCTGACTATGACCAGCTGGGTGACCTTGGGCAGCTGACTTCTCTGTGCCTCAGTGTCCTCTTTGACAAAGTGGCCGTTAAGGTAGGGTTATTGGGAGGATTAAATGGGCTCCTGTTGTCTGGTGCTCCGTGGGCACCTGGCCCATGGTAGGCGCTCGGTATATCCAGGGCAGGCATTACTAGCCCATTTCCCAGAGGCATACACTGAGGTCAGGTCAGTCATGACTGGGAAGTCTCGGTCCCAGCTCTGCTCTACTCAGGATCGGCACAGCAGCTTCACGTAGTGCATCTTGAACTTATTTGGAGAAAAAGAGAAGAATCAGGATGATCAGGAAAAATAGGGGAGCATCTGACTCCAATCCTGTCCCCCTCACTTCAGGAACCCTTGGGCTGTCTTGGGCCTTCAGGCCAGCCATTGGCAAAGAGCCTGTCAGGCAGGCCTGGCAGCTGAGCTGAAACTGCACACACGCCTCCAGGCCTTTGGGGGTCCCCAGACAGCTGTGCCGTTTTGACTTTTGTTCCTAATGCTTATGCGGTCAGATCATGAAATCAAACTGTTGTTTCTTGAGCACCTACTATGTGCTAAGTACTTTAGCAGAAATAACATCTAATTCTCTTCACCAACCCTCTGGGAGGTAGGCAGTCACTGTTATCTATCACTCCCATTTTGCAGAAGGAAAACTGAGGCTGGGAGACATTACATCACACTGCAAAGCTCTCCCAGCTGGGGAAAGAGTCCAGGAACCAGTGCGCATCCCCCCCCCCCCCCCCCCCCGAGAGATGGAGGCGGGCTGGGTACCAGGAGACAGAGGGAAACAGACCCCAGTAACAGCCACCAGTCCCGCCGGAGAGACTGCTGGAGAGAGAAATCCTGAGCCTCGCGTCCAGCAGCCTCTGGGATGTGATGGGCCCTCAAACTGGAACTTGCCCCGTTTTTAAAAATACGTGTTTTCCACATTACAACACAGAGGAGCCTGGGAGACATGATGCTGAGTGAAGGAAGCCAGACACAAAGGGCCACATGTTGTAGATTCCAATCACATGAACCGTCCAGAACAGGCACGCAGACAGAACGGAGGTTGCCGACGCCAGGGGCTGGGGCGGGGAATGGAGAATGACGGCTCATGGGTGTGAGGTTTCTTCTGGGGGTGATGAGAATGTTCTTTTATTTTATAACATTTTTTTTAACAACATATGTTTTTATTGATTTCACAGAGAGAGGGAGAGAGAGAGAGAAACATCAAAGATGAGAGAGAATCATCGCTGCCTCCTGCATGCCCCCTACTAGGATGGAGCCCCCAACCCACGCATGTGCTCTGACAGGACCTTGACCTCCTAGTTCATAGGTCAGCGCTCAATCACTGAACCACACTGGCCGGGCTGATGGAAATGTTCTAACAAGGAGTCTGGTGTGGTTACACTGCTTCACAAACATATCAAAAGGCATTGAATTATACCCTTTAAATGAGTGAATTATATGATATGTGAGTTATATCTCAGTGAAACTTAATTTAAAAAAGAAAACACAATAGGGCAGAGGTTCTCAGAGGTGGTGCTTTGTGGACTAAGGCAGTTAATAAAATCAGACCGTGCTGAGAACAACATGGCGGTCCCCTCTGGAGCAGGGCACGGTGTCTGCCTTCTCCCCCATGTCACCCTCTCCCCGAATCTACCCTGAGCTGGTTGGTGCTCAGAGACCCCGTATTCCCTGGAGAAAGTGTAACACCTCAAGAGCTGGTTAGGGAATCCGGGGGTAGGCCGCAGTCCCCTTTATATTAAAGAGCCCTGGAATCCGCTTCCCTTTTGTCCTTTCCTCATTAACTGGCTTTCTGTAAAGGTAATGGCCCCATTCCCAGGACATAAATGAGACAACAGCCTTTGTCCTGCTCGGTCTGTGGGGCCCCGTGAGCTCTGAGATGCTGCCGCGTTGGGGGGGAGGGGGGGCTGGGGATGGATGTCCCAGGCCTGGTCCTAATATAGTGTTTTAAATGATGCCTGACCCCAACTGGACCTGCGGTCCTGGCAGAGAGTAGGCACGGGGCATGCGCTGGCTGGCTCGCGGGCCTGCTTTTTATTAGTGAGGAACGGGAAGCTCGGCTCCGCGGGATGAGGAGAGGTGGCCCTCGGCCTCCGCCAGGTCTGTTGGGCAACCTTCGCCTCCACCTAAACCGAGGCCGTCGTGAGCTAATCCACAGTCACAGCGCTTCCTGCGTCTGGCAGCCTCGCCCGCCCGTTAATATTGCCCAGCGGGAAGAGCTAGGACAGAGGAGGGGCGGGCGTGGGTGCCCTCCTGATTGTGGCACGTGGCCTGGCACACGATGTGCTAGGGAACATGGGCAGCTGGGCAGGCACGATTCTAGGGCTCCACTGGTTGTGAGGCACCCACTGCTGCGTAACAAACGGCTACAGATTCGGCCGCTCCCAGCCCATTATTTACCATCACGCGCTGCCGCGGGTCCTCCGTCCGCTCAGGGCCTCACAGGTGTGTCCTGGCTGCAGTCCCACCCGCAGATTCATCCCTGTTGTCGGCAGAACTCATTCAGCCCTGTGACTGGGGGCTGCTGTGAGCATTCGGGGTTTTGTGTGGACACACGTGTTTGGTTTTCTTGCGTATCTGCCTGGGAGTAGGTCTGGGGGGGTCCTATAACAATTCTAGCTTTGATCTCTTGAGCAATTTCCAGGCATTTCTACACCATCTTACCACCCCACCAGCAGGGTAGGAGGGGGTTGCGCAGCGTCTTAAACATGATTTTGATTCGTTGCCAACACTTAATAATCACGAGGGGGCAGCTTTTAAAAATAGATGCCCCATGCCAAAACCAGTTTGGCTCAGTGGATAGAGTGTCGGCCTGCAGACTGAAAGGTCCCGGGTTCGATTCCGGTCAAGGGCATGTACCTTGGTTGCGGGCACATCCCCAGTAGGGAGTGTGCAAGAGGCAGCTGATCGATGATTCTCTTTCATTGATGTTTCTAACTCTCTATCCCTCTCTCTTCCTCTCTGTAAGAAATCAATAAAATATATATTTTTTTAAAAAAGGATTAGAAAGGTTCCTTAAAAAAAAAAAAAAATAGATGCCCCGTTTCCTCTCGAAAAAATCAGATCTGGCAAGATGGGGCTCGAGTCCCTCCATGCAGCCACTCCCCTGGTGCTAAGAGAGGCTGCCCTGCACGCTCACCCACCCAGTGCCTGGCTTATGGCTTACCCTCCTGGCCCCAGCGGGATGTGTGCTTGAATCTCCTGTCCCTCCTGTTCCCACTCCTTTCAAAACCTGCTCCCCTTGAAGGCCTAGTTCACTTGCTGCCTGCTCCAGGAAGCCTGCCTGGATTTCCCCAGCCCCGTGGAATCGTTCATTCTGAAACCCCTACAGAGCTTGTCTTCTGCACCCCTTCCTGCCCAATAGTCGTCTCTCTTCCCACCCCCTGTTCTCTGATTAAAAGCTGTGCATCTCCCGCCCCTGATTGCATTGTAACAGCCATTTTTCCCCCTGACTACTTGGGTTCAAGTCCCAAATATTGCCTGGAGCTGGCTGGACGGGTCATCCTCTGACTCATGGCGAACATAGCAGCCCTGACAGCTTCCCAGGATGAGTAGGGTGAGGCTGCAAGACCAGCTGAATCCTGCCAGGGTGGGATCTGCAGGGGGGGCTCCGGGGTCCCTGCCATGGTGACGCCCCCTCCCAGGGTCCCCACCAAGCCTGGGAGTGCGTGAATTTAGTGCGCTGGGCCAAGGTGCAGCCTCCTCCTGGCTCCAGCCTAAGCCGCCAGCACGCCTGTGGGATTTGCGGGGGCTGTGGTCTGGGCTGCGTCACCATATGGATCTCATAAATTAAAGCGTTCCCGGAAACGGAACGGTAAATTTATCCGTCTCTCGCACATAGGGCTGCTGGAGCCTGTGCTCACCCAAGGAATTCTGAGCCATCCATCTCTCTTAGGCACTTTGGTTTTATAGCTCTAATCCCGGGGGGGGGGGGGGGGGGGGGGGATGGATCAACATGAAGCTGCTTTTCTACAGCCCTGCTGGCCCTGGAGCGTGTAATCAGGAAATGGGGGTGGCCTGTCCCCGGGACTGGCCCCGAGGTAGCTGTCATTGGTTATACTCAGGCCCTGAAACCCACCAGGGGCTTAGTTCACCCCTTCTGCCCAGGCTGCTGAGGTTGGAGGGGAGAGCCCCGAATCTGAAGCCCTGTGGACCTGGGCTCACCCCGCCTTGGCATCCTCAGGCTTCTGCCACTCCCTCTCGGAGCCTCAGTCTCCCCAGATGTGAAAAAGGGATGGGGCGACCAGCACAATCCAAGTTAAAAAGACAGAATGTACAACAGTGGTCTCGGGGGGCCGAGGGAGGGAAGTAGGGCGTTGGTGTTTTTAATGGGGAGAGAGTTTCCATTTGGGATAAGGAGGACGTTCTGGAGTAGGACGATGGTGATGATGGTTGCTCAACATTGTGAGTGAACTTAATGCCACTGAACTGTACACTTAAGAATGGTCAAGATGGTGTATTTTGTGTTACGTGTATTTTACCACAATTTTTAAAATACGGAAAAGGGGTTTTGGGCGATGACTACCCCGCTGGATGAGCTGAAGATGAGTAGGTTTATCTTTATGGCTGTAACTGCCAGGTAGGCGGTGATTGCCAGCTCCAAGCAGAGCCGCATGGGCTCGGGCGGTGACAGGCCTGTGGATGGAACCAGTGTCCAGCGGTCGGCCTGGTGCTCCCGGGAGGCTTTGCTGCTAGAGGAAGCCATTGCACTGGCTTTGCTGGGAGCCAGGTCTCCACTGCCCCTCACCAGCCGGGCTGTCCCGCCTGCACAGACCTGGCCATCGGCGGGGAGGAAGGTGTTCAACAGCCCACCGGTCCCACCCATGGGGCATCTCCAGGCAGGCATGGCCAAGACTCACCACGTCTACCCTCCTGTCATTCCAGGTCACCACTGCATCTCTCGAGGCACCGGCAGCCACCCGCCCTCCCACTCAGGAGCCCGAACCCTGGCCGGGGACCCCAGCGAAAAGCCTGCTCAGAGGCCCCAAGACCGCCCCGGAGCCGGGGCCAGCCCGGTGTCAGCAGAGCAGCCTGGACGGGGCCGGGCCAGACCTGGCGGGCACAGGTAGGTGCCAGTCTCTTTGTATCTTTGGGGATTGGAGCGGATGGCGCTGCCTTGGCAGGGAAGGGCCCCCAAAGCCAGTTCTGGCTCAGAGTTCCGCCCCAGGAACGCCACGTTCCTGCCGAGGGCCTAGAGGCAGAGTCTTCTGTGCTTGAGTTTGGATTTTTTTTGTTTTTGTTTCTGTCATCCTCAGGGATGAAACCAAATGGTGATTCAATCGGAATCCCTGCTTCTCGACACCCGCTCATCCTTGGTTCACAGACAGCCTTCCGTTTGTGGTGCTGTACTTATTTATCTCTGAGTGTTATTATATGCACTCATTCGTTTTAAAAATTAATGTAATGGATACCCAGGAACCTGATACCCAGCCCAGGCATGAGGCGGCCCATCAATCTTGATGCTCATCCATCCTGCCCCGCCCCCGCCCCCCCCCCCCCCCAGACGGAAGCACCATCTCAAGTTTGCTTTTTCCATAGCACCTGTGTCTGTCTCACTGTCCTGTGGTGTATGTAGCTCTGCTGAAGTTTGAATTCTGTGTCCCAGGGGCAGGCTCCCCTTCCTTGGCGTTCCAAGGTGCATCTGTGGACGTCACAAGCTGCCACTCTGTCGTACTGCCCTGTACTGTTCCGTTGTGGTACTGCTCGACTCGTGTGTGCCCGCTCTCTTGCTGCCCATGGCACCCGGAGCATTCCTGGGTTTTCCGGTTGTGAATGCACCCGTCTCTCACATGAGTTAACCTCAGCGGGGCCAGGTGGGGTAAGGACATTATCTTTAGGAAGGGAATGTCCACTGGTTTCCGCTGTGGGCCTTTCACTCCCACGCTGCCAGCCACGGAGACCCTGCCTGCCCCTCTCGACAGCACCTGGCAGCCTCAGTTTCCCGATGACAGAGAGGCTGGCCCCTCCTTGGCTGAGGGGCCTGTGAGTGTGCATCCCGAGGCATTGGCTGTGGGGCCTGTGGGCCCAGGGCGGGGGCAGTGAGTGGGTCCCAGGTGGGGCCCTTTAGCTGGACTTCGGCATGTGGTGGACACCCACGTTCTTACTCAGGAGGGTCCCTCGGGCCATATTTCTGTCAGTTGAGGGGGTTCCTGTGTGTGTCCTGCCTTGTGGCTGCCCCTGAGAGGACTAAGTCCTGAGACCCCAGCCTGCCTCTCTGTGCTGGCCCACTGTGTGGACCGCCGGCTGGAAGCTCGGCTTGTTCCAGGAGTGAGCTGAACTGGGAGGAGTCAGGCTAGCAGGTAAAGGGGGCGGGGGAAGGGGTGTTGAGGCAGCTGGCCTGCCCTGTTCTCATGTCATGTTGGGACCCTATCTGGGGCACTCATCTCCACGGCAACCCCAGTACCACCTCTTTCTCTCCGTGATGTGGACTCAGCTAGGAAAGGGGCTGGGCCTCGGGCCAAGGGCAGACCCTGCTGACCAGAAGCTTATGGGCAGATGGGGATGCTGGTCCGGTGGCAAGGGGGGCTTGCAGGTGGTGGGCAGGGATGCTTTTGTGGGAGCCGTTCCCACCCGGCTCCCCAGCACACTCAGAGCCATGGACGAGTGTCTTCTCCCATTCCATGCCTCAGTTTTCTCATCTGAGAAATGGGGGTGAAGGCTAATGTGAGTGCCTGCCTCACAAGGCAGGAGGTGAGAATGAATTAACGGGGACATGAAGAGCATTCAGTGCAGGCCCTGGCACCCTGGATGCCCATACGTGCTGGCTGGTGTCGGCACTATTGTCATTATAATTCCCAGTTACCCAGCTGGCTCCTCCTCCAGGCAGTGTGGAGCATCCCTGAGGCTGTTACCGTGACCTGCCTTCCCCCCAACCGCCCCTCAGCTCTGGGTAATAGCCTTCTAAACCATGACCCTCAGTGACACTACCTAACCCTCCCAGGCTGGCACACACAAGGCCCAGCCCCCTGCCCTGGGGCTGCCTGGGGCAGGGCAGGGGCACAGGGCCCACGCCTGCCAGCTGCTCCCCATCAGGCAGCCCTGCCTGGAGAGGAGGGGGTGCAGCTTCCCAGCCAGAGACCCGCCAGGAACTCCATCCTGCTGTCAGGCCTCTCCCGGGGAGGCCACTGCTGCTCAGAAACGTGACAGTGACTAATGGTTTATTACACACCTGCCACCTCTCATCCGGTGGGCGGGCACAGCCCTGGGCCAGCTATGCGCTTGCCAGCTGCACAGCGGGGCAGGCACAGGGGGTGAGCACGTTCAGACATGCAGACACACATGAGCGCAGGGACACACAGGGCAAATGCACCATACACAAGGATACCTGCACAAACACGCAGATATTCACAGGCACATACATACATACAGCTACACATGCACACGCAGGCAACACGATTCTCTTACACACACGCATGCACACACACATACACACACACACACACACGCAAGCAGGCAACCCTGTCACTTCCTCTCTCCAGAGCTCTGAATCCCTCTGTCTTCTCCTCTGTTCCCCCCGCCCCTGAAGTGAGGACAATATTGGAGCAGGGCCTTTTGGAGAAGGCCGGGGGGCTGTGAGCAGGTCGGGGGATGCACCTATTGCCGTGGAGCATAATTACCCACTGCAGTCCCTCAGTTTCCCATAAATGGCTGATACATGGAGACAGTAGCAGCATTTTCTCTGGGAAGAAGCCATCACACCAAGAACCCTTGTTGTGGGCCCAGTGGTTCGGTCAAGTGCCCACAGAGACACACAGCCAGCCTGCAACCTGTTCTCTGGCACAGCTGAGTGCCCGCCGGGGGCTGTCACCTGCTGGCTGCAGGGAGTGTGGCTCCAGGCTGCAGGGGAACTGGCAGGCAGGGCACACACCTCAGGCTGAGCATCTCCTCCAGTGGGTGGGAGACGGGGGCAGCCAGACTCCTGCCATGAGGCATCCTCCCGTGTCGAGCCGCCAGCTCCCAGCTCAGCGCTTCCCAATATTCTTAAGCGTTTCGTCAAAGGGAGATCCATTTCTCATGTGTCACCTGCATGTGGTATAAAATCCAGCGGGAGGACACTCCTAATTCATCATCTCTGATGGGAACAGGCATTCCTGAACAATTGTCTCCGTGCTGTCACAGCCTCCGTAGGAGACATGCAGCGCCATCCAGGAATAAGCAGGGGCGTGGCTTGGTGTCAGAGACCCCGGTTCAAGTTCCTAAGTCTCGGCACTGCCGATTCCCAGCCACGGGACTTTGGCAAGGTTGGGAGAATTCCCAAAGCTTAGCAGCTCCCAGCCAATGTGATCCCAACGAAATCTTCCTCGTAGCACGGTGTTAGTGATGGGATGGATGCCACGGAGGCACCCAGGGCAGCCGTGCAAGGTTGTACAGGTTGCACACGGCACAACTCCAGGGGGTGCCATTCTCATTGTGGTCTCTGTAAATGTGCTCCCAGTGTGGCCATGAGGGCTGCTGTGCTGACCAGCTCAGTGGTGGCCCCTGAGTGGTGCCATGTGGGCCCTGGAAGTCCTTTCTGAGCTATAGGACGGCTTTAAAAGTGGCTAATAATATTGTTATTAGTCCTGGCCAGTGTGACTCGGTTGATTGGGCATCATCCATGCACTAAAAGGTTGCTGGTTCAATTCTTGATCAGGGCACATGCCCAAGTTGCATGCAGAAGGTAGTTGATCTATGTTTCACTATCACACCAATGTTTCTCCCTCTCTCTCTCTCTCTCTCTCTCTCTCTCTCTCAATCTCTCTCTCTCTCTCTCTCTCTCTCTCTCCCTCTCCCTCTCCCTCTCCCTCTCCCTCTCCCTCTCCCTCTCCCTCTCCCTCTCCCTCTCCCTCTCCCTCTCTCTCCCTTTCTTTCTCTTTCTGAGAAGGTCTACCTTGGAGCGGGTACTTGGTACTGTCTCTGCTCCTCCTGAGCTTTGGTTTTAGGCAGACAACCTCTCTGTGCCTCTCTCTCCCTCCCTCCCTCCCTCCCTCCCTCCCTCCCTCCCTCCCTCCCTCCCTCCTTTTCCCTCCTTCCCATCCTTCCTCCTCTCCTCTCTCTGCCTTCCTCTCTCTCTAAAAATCAATAAAAAGTCTTTTTTTAATGTCTTCATTAAATTGAGATAGTGGAAGCCGCATACCCTCTGATGGGGTCGGGGTCGGGTCACAGAAAACCAGGTGGAGGTCGAGTCTCCAGTTAGAGCCATGTTCCTGGGGCCTGGACGCTGAGTGTTTATAGGAGCCGGTGCCCACCCTGGGCCACTTCGATTTCCTCCTCCTCTCCCCTGTAGCCGTGTGTTTAAATGAGTGCTTGTTGGGTGTGATTAGGGTGTGGACTCTTCAAGCATGCAGATCCCGTGCTCCCTGAGTTCAAATCCTGCCTCTACTCCTCCCGAGCTTTGGTTTTAGGCAGACAACCTCTCTGTGCCTCAGCTCCCCCAGTTCTGAGGATCCCAGAGTCGATCCCTGCCCATTGCTCAGCACAGTGCCTAGCACATGGGAGCAGCCGAGACCTGAGCTGGCGACCACTCCAAGCCCTGGCCCCACAAAGGCCTTTGTCTCTTTGTTGGGCAAACAAGCTCCCAGCTGGCCAGGATTGGGTCTCCTTGGCCAGGAAGGCAGGGCCTCCACTTGGGTACTTGGCTCAGGCCCTCAGAAGTCCTTGGCAGATCTCCCTTGGAGCGGGTACTGGTGCTGAGTGCTTTGATGCAGGCGCTGGAGGGCCTCGGCCCCCGCTGCCAGGCGGCAGCTGCTTGGAGGGCCCAGGCGGCCGGGTTTGGCTGCAGCCTCTCCAGCCCAGCGGGTAAGCGCCCTCTTCCCAGCTCTAAGGGAAAGGCGCCTCATGCAGCACGAGCACAGCCCTTCTCTGTCACCCTCTCCCTGTGTGTCTGCAGCCCAGCTGGGATCCAGAGTCCGTTTTCTCTCCGACTAGCGCTGTGTTTATCTTCTCGGGAGCTTCTTGTGACACTGGGGAGCTCAGAGCTTGCAAGTCGGGGCAGGAGGCCTGGAAGCCCAGGCAGGCTGGGAGGCTCTTCCCTTGTACGTCGATCTCACCCCAGAAGCCTCTTTGAGTGTTTAATGGGGCTCACTG